ACAAAAAAAGGAGGAAAGCAAAACTGAGGGAGGCAGGAAGGCAGAGGGAGAGGTTGGGAAGAGAGCGGCAGGAGGCAGGAAAGCAACAGGGTCAAAATGTGATGGCAGCTGCTTTTTAAATTTCAGGTTCATGTTTGAAGACAGAATCACAGTTTTTAAAAATTTATCTGTAAACAATAAACCTCTGCTGATCAGAAATTACAGACAGAACATATTTTGTTTGAAAATATATAATTTTGTACGTATGTCTACAGAAATACAGAAAAGTTAAAAAAAAGAACATAAATATTAGAGTAAAGATTAATCTACCCATGGCTTATGTTTGTTTTTTAAGTTAAGCACAAAATTTTAAAACATCATCCAGAGGGTAAACAAATAAAAAAACAAAATAGTGGATTGCAACTTTCTCCTTCCTATCACCATTTTTATTCTGCCACCAAAAAGTTGAAAACAAAAACAATTATAATTTGTGCAAAACATCGACTCACTCTCTATGCAGATGATGCATTAAACAGAGAGGAAATGCTTTCTAGAGCTCCTTCAGGTTCCAAACATTAGCATGCTGACTCTGCATTGGTAATATTACCTAATCAGGTATCAATATTTAGTCAAGAATCATTGGTTTTCAGATTTCTCCGCCTTTCTTTTCTCCCAACATTTGAGTTGTTTTGTATAATATCACTGCATTGTAAGCATCTTACTTATGAACACATCATAAAGCACTATTGCAGAACATTTCTTTGTTTCTGGTCCATTCTGACAAACGATTCTTCTTCTCTGGTTAACATGCAGAGGATCCTTTCTGTTCCCAAGCTAAGTCCATTAAACATCCATTCAGCTAATGGTGCGCTAATTAATGCCCTGATCTTGTCTTCTAAGGTTCAGCTCACAATGTTTTTCCCCATTTCTGTCTGTTTATGCCAGTATAAATCTGTGACTGAAGGAAGTTATTATTTTTGTAGTTTTTGTGGTCCTGAGGTGGAAAGTAGAAAGTAAGAAATGAAAACACGATGAAAGCATTCCAGTAATCATTCACTGCGTCTCAAACGGAGTTGAAATAGTGGCTGTTTTTTCTGAATTGATTTTTATTAAAGTGTTGGTATTTCATGTATTTTAAGCAGTAATAGAAAATAAAATATTGAGTGAAGCTGCAGCAGCTCTTGTGGTATGGTTGTATCTCTTATGTTGGTGTGAATTTCACGCTTTTCTCCCTCTGTGTGGAAGGAAACGGTTTCTGTCATTTCAACAGCGGAGATTCTGCATTACTTAATGGTAACAGAAATCACATCCTGGCCAACATTAATTCAGAAAAGCAGCACTGATTTATTTTTTTTCCTATCAAACCAACAAATATTGACATTGATTATGGAGGATGGACATCCTTGTCCATGTTAGGCCTGCCACAATAAACAATAAATCAATTAATCGCATGATAAATTAAAAGAAACTCTATTTTCATTTGCTTAATTTATTGTTTTTCTCTTTTCTCTCTCTTTTTACCACAAACTGAATGATGAAACTCTTTAGTCTGGTGCTTTGAGCTGAACTATTCCCCCTTTTTTAATTAATTTTATTTCTTTTTTCTGTTTTCTTTTTTTATTTTGGACGTTTTAAATATCTTCCAGTTCTAGTGTTTAAATGTTTATTAGGATTTAAATTTTATTGATCTTTGAGAACATGTTCTTACATTATTATACCATTATTACTTGAAAATCGTCTCAAAACAACAATATTATCGTTTATCGCAATAAGTTCTGGAACAATTTATCATCCAGCAAACTTTGTTATTGTGACAGACTTGGGTAGATTTTTCTGCCGGTGGCCAAAACCCGACTTTATTTCTGGTCCGTAAAATCCTAAACAGCTCTTTCAAAACGTTGGATGTTTTCACACCTAATAATCCGGTCAACACGATTCGATTGACATGACGCCAGTTCTGCCCCCTGCTGATTTAAGCAAAAATTTGTAGTAAAATCAGGAAGAAAATGTGGAGATTTGTTGAATTTGTGTGAATCTTGCAGATTTGTGAAAAACAGGAAGGACTTACTGATGTAATTTGGAGTCTAGACGGCCACATAAAAAGCTACGGCGGGCCAAATTTGGCCCACGGGCCTCAAGTTTGACACATGTGATCCACAACAAGCAAAATTAAATTTTTTTACTTGTTTTCTTGCGTTAGGGTTACCACTTCACGCCTTTAATTTGCTGCCACACATTTTGTGAACTTTTCCAACCAAACCAGTTAAAATTGGCAGCCGATAAACATCAAGACAGAATCCTTTTTGTGTCTAATAAGTAGCTGCACCAAATGGAAACCCTGCGGCCCTGATGCTAATTGCTGGATGTTGATTTACATCGTCCAGATCCAGTTAACAGGAAATCAAACTGACGAGGTGGCAGTTTGTTAGGAGGTATCAATGGTGATCTCATTTGCATGGGAGCTAATGAGGCGAAGCTTCGGGCTCTTTGTTTGGATAAGTGGAGGCTGACAGGAAGACATAAAGCAGCTGCAGCCCAGAACAGCGTCCCAACTTCAAATAAATGGTTTTAGTCTGAGCAATCGCAACAAAAACTCTTTTTTTTTCCAGATGAAAGAGATCAAAAAAGTCTTTGAAGTGATGTCAGGTTTTTGATGTGTCTATAATGGCGAGCGACGCCTGATGATGCCATTCAATAGGGAGAAAATTCACACTATTCACGACTCTAACGTCGTCTTCATCTGTGTAAATATATAAATTCAAACTCTAGAAACAATTTTAATCATCAGTAAAAATTCTGGCAGGATGAAACTTTTTGTTTTTTTACATCTCTTTCCTCCGCCTTTGCTGTCAAAACTTTCCCCACCTGCCATGAAACTTCAGGAACAAGAAACTCGGAGGATAAAAATAAGACCTGCCCTGTAGAATCACTTGGATGAAAAGTTTTAATTTGAGATTTTAGGTTGCACATGTCAACGGCAGCAGGAGGGAATTTGGAAAATGGCGGCGATGGGAATATTACACTCTTAAATTTCAGAAATTCAAAACGAGAAAGATTTTACTGAACTTTCTGCATCAGGAAATTGGTTGCCATTTCTCTTTTTTAGGTTTTAAAATAAAGTAAAACAAAAATTTGCAAAAAGAGGATGGATAAATTCTCAGTTATTTGTGAGAAATAAAAAATACTCGTCTGTTCAAGTTAGATTTCTCACTAGTTTTCTTTTTAGTTTTTCATGTTTTGTCTCTTTACAGCCATTTTTTACTGTTTAATTTATGTTGCAAAGTATCCTGTGTTTTAAAAAAACCATCAGATATGTCGCATAATGAGCAAAACATGTGGATTTGTGTTGCTGTGTGAACGTCGCTTTGTTTTCTTCATGCTATTGATGTGTTTTTAAGACCTGTATGTAACCAAACCTATCGCATAAATACATTTTATTTATATCCTGGCATGCAGACCAGCAGGCATGTAGCATCCTGGAGAACTCTGGGATTTTATTTTGTAAATTAAAGTTGCTCAATGACGAGCAACAAGAAAGCCAAGTCATAAACGTTCTCTTTGTGCATTTTTTAAAACCAGTCTTCATTTTCCCAAGACTCGCTTTCCTTCCCTGTAATTTTACGATGGTGATTACCATTAGTGAGTGTGTCAAATTTCACATTTTGTGTCAAATGTTTGTGTTTTTACGGCTCGTTCTGCTCCAAAGTGGCTGCTTTGTACCTTATAACACCTTTAACAGCAGAGGCAGCAGATGGGAAATGCTTAAATGTTTCATTCCAGGGACAAACTGTTTCACCTAAAACTTTGCTGCAGGTTATGGAAACTATAACTGTTAAAAAATGTGAGAAAAAACAAAACAGAAGCTGGAGTCTTATAAACGCTGAGATTAATTAAACCACATTTCCTGTATTAAGTAAAGCACATGTGTCAAACTTGAGGCCTGGGGGCCAAATTTGGCCCGCTGTAGCTTTTTATGTGGCCCTTTAAACTCTAAATTAAGTCAATAAGTTCTCCCAGTTTATCACAAATCTGCAAAATTCACAGAAAATCAACAAATCTCCACATTTTTTTCTGATTTTACTGCAAATTTTCTCAAAATTGGTCAAAACCATTGAGTGTAAGTGACTGCAGCCTCAGTCTTGATTTTATAGTTTGTAATTGATGACCCAAAGTCTTTTAAAGTGAGACGGCTTTAAGACGGAAACAGTCGAAGGCCGGAGTCGAGGTGGAGTGAATAAAACATCTTTGTGTTGTTTTCTCTCCACTCCAGGCTGAATGTGGAGGCCGTTTCCAACACGCATGAGGGGAAGTGTTATAATTTATGTAGCTTATGGTGTCGAGGACATCTTAACACCATGAGGCATGTATCTGGAACGCTTCCTTCCGCTGAGATGACGGGGCTTTCACTCACTCAGACAGCCCGGCTGTAAAGTCGCTGCTGACGGACACAGTTCCTGATAAAACGCCTCTTGGCACGTACAACTTTATTTGGATGTTTTGGCCCTCGGACGAGCGCCAAACCGAAACCCTTCAGTTACTGTCAACATGTGTCAGTTCTTCAATGCAGTGATTTATTCCAGTGACTGACAGTCAAACCGAACAAGGCCAGAGCATGAATCCTCCCAGACGAAGCCAAGACCGTTTATTTGGCAGAACTGAAGATGCTGCTAAAGCTGCTTGTTCGGATTTTCAAAAACCAACTCTCATTCGTTTAGGGAGGAAAATAAAAGTAAAAATTTCCTGTTTTATCCAGCGTGCAAAAATCCAGATTGTCTGCAATTTAATGTGTCAGAAATACATATTTTATCGATTTAGGGAAACTTTTGAAAAGATACGGAGCTTTCCGACAGATATAGAGATTACCAAGAAGTCGGGCAAACGCAATGTGTCAGAGCTTATCACATAAAACAGCTAGCATGTTTAACAATGGTAAGAAATGTCATTATTTGGTAAAAATATTACAAATAACTAAGAACTGACACCCAGAAATGGAGTTACAAAGAGAAATTAGCATTAAACACTTTACTCCACACAAGCAGAGTTACATTTACTTAGTCGGACTTTTTAAAATTTATTTTACTTTTAGGAGTATTTTTACTACGCTGTACTTTTACTTGAGTGATTTTATTATGAAGTATCTTTACTCTTACTTACCCGCTGAATGAAAAACAAATTCACAGACACAGACCTGCAGTTTTAGTTAAAGTTTTATACGTTTTTTATTGAAAGAAACTGATTTGGAAACATTTTCTTTTGCCTGATTTTATTTTTTGTTAAATTTTAATCCTTAAAATACCAAAATTTCCACTTAACTTTACATTTTGGCCTGTCTGGTTATATAATTTTTAAACATGAAATGATGATAATTTGATCAGTTACTTTTTACCAAATACTTTTTTACTTTTACGAGAGTAATTTTACTTTTTACTTTTATTGAGTAAAAATATGTTGAAGTACTTCTGCTCTTACTTGAGTTCAGTTTTTGGATACTCAAGTAAGAAGATCTGAAAGTGATGTTATGATCCCTATAAATGTTTCTTTTTTTTAACTTTTGATGCTAAACTGTATTATTGCATAGAATCAGTTAAATAAATGAGGAAAAATATTTATGTTAAAAGCTGCTGTTAAAGAAAAAAAGCTCATTTTCTAGATATTTGCTTTGCCTGCATCTTTCATTTTTGTGTGTTTTGTTTTTTTTGGTCAGTGTGTTGCTGGCATCACACGGCATGTATTTAAATGTTCCTTTAAGCTCCTTACCGTACAAATTTAAATAAATTAATAAATAGCAAATCAAGTGTTTAAAGCCTCTGAAAATGTTCAGGTGCCAGCTTAAGAAAAAGAAGAGGAAAAGTTTGAAACTTCACAAAGAAACGAGTCCTATTGATGAAGGTCAGTTAAAACGTTTACAAGGAAATCTGGCTCCCCAGAAGCAAAATGAACAAACAAGGCCTAGCTTCAGACTTTTGAATTTCAGAGGTACTGACAAACAGTTTTGGAGCAGGAATAAAAAATAAAAGTGTGTTAAACAGCTTTTCAACTGGATAGCAAAACCCCTCCAACATCCAATAATAGCTGGCCTTTTTCCTGCAGTGGGAACGGGTTCAGCTGGCACCGAGTCCCGGCGTTTATCTGCTCCAGCTCCGACTGGCAGGAATGTCAACAGAACATGGATATGCTGATACGCACAGAGGACTGAGCAACGAAGCAGCTCTGCTAAACGCACTTTTACTCATCCGGTACGATCTAAAATAACTGGAAATATTAAAAACTTCACTGCTGCACTTCTGGTTGGGCTCAAAAAAACCTTTTTATAAACGTTTATCGTATTTACGTTCTGGGATGACTGCATCTTTAATAGTTAAGACATTTCACTCTATTCTTTTATTTTACTTTTCCATTGTAATGAGCATTTAAAAAGTAGAAATCACACCACAAATCTAACGAAAAGAGCATTTATTGTATCGTTTATCATTTCTCTGAAAAAATTATCGCATTAGGAATTTGATCCATCATTGTCTCAATAAATTCAGATTAATGATACTAAATGAAAAACAAACCTGAAAGTATTTATTTTTTACCATTTTTTCCACTGATTTGTTCCACAAGAATATCAGTAAGTATAAGAATATGATTAAATGTAGGTACTGTGTAGTTTAGTGATTTCTTTAAATAACTTTAAATTTCTGGATTATTGTCTCCATTTGGCACAAAGCATAAAAATAATCCTTTCCATGTTTTATAAAACCGTTTTGTAACCGTTTATCAAAACGTACAGTTTTCATGTTTTTGTTCTTCCGTTTGGGTCTCCACTGCTTGTAAAAACAGACCAAACTTTAAAAAAAAAAAAATCTATCCAGCCGGTTTTTAATAAGTTAATGTTTTTTGGTGTCTGAAAAATGAGCCGTTTCAAAAACCTTCAGAATGTAACGTCACAAATCAGCAGGTGCTGCCGGTTACCTAGCAACCCCAGTGGAGCTCCATCTGTTACCTAGCAACCCAGGCGGAGCTCCAGCACATTTTTATCAGCTGGTTTTACTGCTGCATGTTCTCTACAATGGCTGCTGGAAAAGTAATGCGTTTTGTTGTCGACTTATCATCCAGAAGTCACTTGCTGCATTCTTGTTGGTTGTACAGGAGGCTCCACTTCTGCTTTTCCAAGATGCACAGTTGTATAACCGTGCATCTCTTTGCAGACATTTTCATGTGCGAGTGCAAACATTGAGTTAGTGGGCGTGGCCACCAGTAGATTATTTGGATTTAAAGCGACAGGGATCCTAAAACAGCTCATTCTAAAAGAAGCTCAAAACTAAAATCTCATATCTAAGAATAATTTTGTGCAGAAAATGTAGTGAGCATGTTTTGAATAGATTCCTGTTCAAGGAAGAATAATGGGTCTCATTTAAAAAGCTGCAAAGGCGTACACCACTGCTGCCAGGTTTATATGATTGAAACTTTTTCACATTTAGCATTTTGGTTAAGTCTTTCAAAGCTGTGTTTCCATTTCTATGGTTTAAACAGTTGAGGATAAAGTAATTCCTGCTTCCCCTCCATGTGCAGTCAGTGCGCAGCCACTTTGACCCATTTAAATGCAGCCCTCCTTTCAGCACGCTGACCCTGCCATGCAGACTGGGCTTTTGTTATTTTCCCTCTAACAGAACCCACCTGGTCTTTCATTCTGCCTCTCCTTTCATTCCCCTCTCTCCCTCTGTGATGAGAAGCGACAGGTACGCAGACAGTCTGGATAGATCGGAGGAGACACGGTGAAGATGGCAGAGCCGTGATGTGAGCCTCTTCCAGCAGCAGCAGTACAGTCTGTGCTGACAGCCCACCATCCTCCTCCCCTCCCCGCACGGCCTTCATCCACCTCTGCCACTTCCTGTCTAACTCTCAACACTCTTCCTCCTGTTTTTTCCTTCATCTCATTCCCCTCATCCATTCTGATGTGCCACAGGAAGCAGGAGGAGCCGTTGCTCCTGTTGTGAATCATCTTCAGTCAGATGAGCCAATAAGGAGGCGCAAAAACATCGGGAGCTGCTTCCCATCTGCTTAATTATCCCCAAATGTATCTTAATATCAATTTAACAAACCCGTAGATGACTCTACACAGAGATGCATACAGTTGTGTAACAAATATTTGCCTATTTTGATGTCTAATCAATGTTTCTTATCCATGGAAAAGAAAGTGAAGCATCTTGAATCTCTAGTGAAGCTAGACTAAAACAGATTTATTTGGACGTTTAGGAAACTCGGCTCCAGTTCATCCTCACTGGTTCTTCTTTAGGTGGAGCTGAATTAGATTCACCATCGTTTACCGTCAGACTGGGGCTGCTGTAAACTATTATTTTTGTAATTAAGCATTCCATTGATTATTCAAGTAATCAAATAAAAATGTGATAAAATGAAATATTGGTAAATTCTTCTATCACAGCAGTGTTACTTTCAGATATCAACATTGGCTCAATTTTCATATTTTTTCATCCCTACACTTTTCTGTTGTTTAGAAAAGTTACCTGTAACAATAATAGTTATACAAACAGTTATACAAAAATCTGAAATTATATTAAATTTAATAATAAGGAGGCAGGCTCACAAGGACACTTCTCAAAAAATGTCTATCCTCCAGCTTCTAATTTATGCATTCATCTTCAGTCAACTTAATAGATGAACTCTCACTTTGCACAGATATTTATAGCTTTTATTTTCATGTGAATGACTGGATTTGGCTCCTTCATCACACACAGAAACACATCTACCAGCTCTTTACTGCCACGATGCGCTCCGCCACCCATTTCTTGCGACCGAGGAAAATATAAAATTTATTTTCTACACTTACGTTCCGCAGTGTTCAGTTTATCTGCTCACCTGTATAAATACACCCGCCGCGCACTTCACCGCCAGCAGGCAGCAGCTCCAGGACGAGAAAGGCGGCCGTACTCCAGGCATCACAGCAGTCAATTTAAGGATGCCTATTGGTCCCCCAAAAATGATAAAAACCCAGACATTATTATCAATTAATGAAATCCCTCCTGGCCGAAGTTGAAAAGTAGACGTTGTGTTGCTAGCACGTAGCACCTACCAACAACTCGTAGGCGGAAGTGAGTGCGTTACGCAACATAAATAATCACCCGGCCACAACACAGCGCTAAATAATACAACATAATTTAACGAAGCTTTGAAGCAAATAGGTTTCCTTGAGGAATTTTAATAATCAAGGTATCATTCAAGGAATGATTACAGCCCTAATTAATAAAGAGTCGAATCTGATCACACAATGCTAGAAATGTTACATTGGGGTGTTGTTACTTTTTTTAATATATTTTAAGGTAGCTCTATGATATAGTTTCAAGTAAATCAAGGCTGTGAAAGAAACTTCCTGTCTTTTCCTTTTTCTTGGTACTTTTGATCATAATGGATCATGTTATTCAGATGCAACAGGAAAGAAAAGCTTGCATATATGCTGTTTAAAACTTATCGTGCTACAGTACTGATTGATTGCAAATACTTGTGTTCAAAATGGACTCCAACAGTTTCCATAGCAGTTAGTCGTCACACTCTGAGCTTACAGGATCTATTTTGGGGAAATTTAATCAGTAATGGAAGAATCCTTAAGACTGCTGCTCTGACTTTCTCTGAAGGAGATGAGTCTGTCAGTTTGCGTCAAAACTGAAAAGAGTCATGACGACTGAGAGAGCATGGCCTGTGTTCAAAGCAGCTAATGCTTTTCTTTGGAAAATCACTGGGGATCATTCAGTCTTCATTGGGCAGACAAAATAAACATACAGCAAAAAGCTTGTAGAGATTATATCTTTGAAGGAAAACAAACAGGCTACATAAATGGGAGAAGGTGTCATCTGACATATTGTAAATTCTTTTAGGTTTGATTATACCTCATATTTGGTTATCTTTGTACAAAAATTGACTCCGTCATGCCAGTGTCATCATCAGCTCTATTGGCTTTATAAGACCAGCAATGCATAAAGTTTTTATTCCAATTCCCACATAAAGAAATAAAAACATCTTTAGGTTTTACTGTAAGCTGTACGTTCATACAGCAAGACTTAAACTTTGGACTGTTGTGCATATTTGATTGAAGAGTTCAGCTTAAGCTTATGTTTCAAGCATTCATTAACAAGAGGCACATCTGGCCGATATGGCTAAAAAACGTATCACAATACAAGCATTTCATATCAGTTGATATTGATAAATTTTGATTAGTTTTTTGTTTCAAATATCTTTCAATCAGTTTTCTTTCAATCCCGTTAATTTTATTTTTTAGCAGTTATAAGTCACGGTGGTGAAAGATGAAACTGTTGCTGCGCCAGTAAGTCAACAGGTAGTTGCTAGGTAACCAAGGAATGAGTTGGTTGATGCCACCAACCTAGCTTAGCTCACAGTGAGACGTTGAGCAGCTAAAGATTTTCTTCTGCCTACATCTCCCAGAATGCTGTGCAGTTCTGGATCAAAGTTCATTGAGATTATGGAATATTCTATCAGACATATTATCTATTGATATTTACCATATTTTTTTAATTTATTGGACATCTCTAATAAAAAGAGCATTTGCAGCCAAACCAGAGGACTTTTGTTCCTTTGCTCCACAAGAACATTTAAATGGCTTAAAATAAAACATTTTTTACTGTTTTGAACCATTTATCTATAGTTATTCTGATGAAGGCTACTTTGATGGTGCATAAAAAACATTAAGCGCTTGTGCCAGAATCATAGTCACCTATTTCACTTTCCACAGGAGCTTGAAATATTTTTCCACTATCCTTCATGTCAAGATTTTAACAGGCTTCAACTTCTCAGTCTTTCTTTGCTGAAAAGTGAAAAATAAGCTAAAAAAGTATTGGACATCTTTTCTGATCAGCTTTTATATTCGGAGAGCAACTAATCCAATCCATCTGTAGTTTTGATTTAAGGTTATTGGATCTCTCCTTTGTTAAAACAGAACTAAAATATGACGTTTCTAACTAAAACCAAACATGTTGGATCTTCTGATAGTGATTATAACTTTAACCTGCAGACAGGAAGCTTTCTTAAACCACTTTGTCAGAGCGATGACATCACCAGCCACTCATGTCTCCGGTTTAAGAGGACATCTGTGTGGTTGAGTGGAGTTTGTTGTGACACATGGGGTTTGAAATGCACACAGCTGAGTGACCACATACTTTCAGAAAGATTAAGACCATCCAGCTATGATAACTGCTGTTCTAACTTCCACCTCCATGGAAAATATGATGAAGTATTTATAAGACAATTTAAGATATGGATTAATTATTTAAGTGCTTGTTTCCTCAATCACTTTTTTCACTGATTAGAGTACTTTGTATTCTGATCACTTCCTAAATGGATGAATTTATAATCCCACTTGGAGGCCTTGATAAAACATTGACTTGTGTTGACACACTTTGCTTTTAAAAAATCTCTTACGGAACTATCTGCTAACAGAAAACCTCAGGGAGAGGCTCTTTTAAAAAATAAAACTCAATATTTTCTGTATACTTAATGTGAACTTTTAGTGTTTATGTCTTTATGTATAAGTCTGCACATTTAGCTACTGATTTGTGAATAGTTTTTTGATTTTTGTTAAGTATTCTGATATCACACTGTCATACTTTAACTTAACATTATGCAGTATTTATTTAAAGTTATGGTATAATTAAGCAAAGTGCACTGAATAACTTTCCTCTAATTCAGTCTTTCTCAAACTGTGGTCCCCGGCCGCCCCCTGGTGGTCAGCCAGGTACTGCATGTAAACGACCGTTTATTTGCCGTGACGTCAGCTCAAAGTGCGACGCTACAGCTAGCTTACCGGAGGATTGTTTTAAAATAATAATGGATAAATGGTTTAAAACCGGGTCACTCAAAAGAAAAGCTGAAGATACCGGTGGAAAGAAAACAACGTCAGTATTACAGAGGAAGCTAAGTTATAGGTGCGGAGAGATTTGATGAGTCATTCACGAACGATTCGATTCTTTTGAACGGTCTCAGTTAACAAGAACTGTTCTTTGTTTTTTACGACTTTGTTCGCTTATGTTGCTCTGCTAACACATTAACAGCTACTTTAATAGTCATGTCATGTTGTATGTTAAGATGTTGCGGGGCAATTTTAAGTTAAGCGGTCCGTGATCGTTTATTGACGTTAAAATGTTCGACAGCCTCAAAAAGCTTGAGATACACTGATCTAGTGACATTCATTCTTTCAGAAAATGTTTAATAATCATGTTATTTTGAAATACTATGTGATTTCAGTTACTTT